GGCAGAATTGATCTGCATCAGGCTTGAACTGAAAATGTGTAGGATGCTGTAAAACATGACAATGACAATAATTATGTGATCTTTCCATTAATCTAGAATAGATAGAAGGATACATAGAGAGTTTGCCACATACACAGAGTTATCAAGTAAGATGTAGTGAAATGATTCGGTTGCTCAACCAAGTTACTTTGCAAGGGTTGTAAGTGATAAGTGATCAGACCAAAACGTTTTAACCTAGCTATCGTTAAGTTGTTAATTACAATTCAGACAAACCTTTGGCCTGACAGTTAACAGTACGCTAACTTGATTAGGATACAAACCAAAGTTTATTTTTACTTACCGACATGGCAAACAATCACTTGCTTTCAAAATTGTAGTACTTCTGAAAATAAGTATAATATAGTTAGGAAAGACTGCTGATGTGATGGCTGGCTTGCCGTCACTATATTTACTATGAATCAATAATAACACTTATTCATATTACAACAGTTTATCGTCACATTACATTATCTAAACATGTATAACTTCTTTGCATAGCAATGACTGAACAACTTCAAACTTTTTCAATATGGAGTATTTACAACGGACAGTGTGACAATCAAATCTCATATTCTTTACAAGCAGAATAAGATTTACAGGATGTAACGTCACACATAAGCACTGAAAAAATATATTTTTTCCTATTTACCCTTAATCCAAATAACAACATGAAATTGGTGATATAATAATGCAGTTAGTATAGCATAATAGTAATAGTATACAAAACAAAATTCTCAGTTGAGAATCTAACGTAGTTACTGATACGAAATTCACTCAGCCAAATGTAACACACAACTCAGTTGAGACATTACAGGGGAGTTAAATGACCAAATATGTAAGTTGAAGATAATTCATAGCTCTAAAACAACATCATCAAACCTTATTGATTCGAATTACATCGATATTTTGACAATGCTAGTCAAGTGATCAGCCGCACCGCACTGACCTCATTACAAACTATTATTAAAGTGATAAGAGCTGCTTTCAACAGGTAACATCTCATTCTCATACAACTCATTCGTATTATGTTGAACAGTGTTTATACTAAAACCGCAAGTGTGTTTTGTGCATTTTGTTTCGCAGTTACCTTCGTCTTCTAGTCTTCTCTTCTCGATGCTTCTTCCTGTTTTTAAATGTTAATGAGAATGTGTCCAATTTGGCCATGGGCGTGGTGGGTTCTGACGTCACACTTGGATGTGGCTGGGTTGGATGTCCACCGCAGGATGCAGCGAGAGGCTACTCAACTATTTGGAGCCCGCTTTACTCTGACAGAGATATCATACTTTGACAATACACTGGAAATCCAGGCCCCTAGAGAGCTCCTTTTGGAAATGAGGCTACGAACGAGAACAACCTCTGCAGTCATACGACTTGAACCAGTCAGAAGAGAAGAGGAGGAGGAGGAAGAGGGGCGCGCCAAGTCCAAAAACACACATCGAGGCAATCACCTTAGCAGTACTGTTAACATGGACTCTGTGGCTATGCGAAGAGGCAAAAGAAAGATCAATTGCATTGGTATGTGGACTGACAACCTCAAATGTGTCAATTGATGTTCCGTTATGCATTAAGTTTTTTTTTGTCTGAAATGTATGTCCACTAAGTTACTTCATAGCTAGAAAGCTGGCTCGCAAGTAACTACTAGCTAGCTGATTGATTAATGTTCTTCTTTGTCGTTAGCCTTTCTTTAATGCCAGTTTAATAATCGGCTGCAAAAGTGTTTGCGCTCATCTATACAGTTAATGAACATTATTAGCCAGCTTTCTGCCTGGCAGCATTAGTCTATGGTGAATAACCTTTTTAATATTTAGGTTAGGCTAATGGTTATATCATTAGCCTACCTTTTAGGATGATACCTACCTTTTAGGTTTGCTAGTTACCTTAGTCCTGACCATAGACTGTTACAACATTATACGTAATAATTTAGATTAAGCTACAATTAGCTATGGTAACTTACTGGTACAGGTGACTAGCACAATATTCAAATTTTTCGAGTTTCACCTGTATAATGTTAACTGTTTCAGTGTTAGCCAAATATAAGATTTTTTTTTTTTTAACAACGATACCAATAACAAAGATATCGATATCAATGATTTTTTATTTTATCAATAAGACCTATTTAATATAATTATAATGAAATAATTAATTTGGTACCATGCAGATTTGCCGATTTGCCTCTGATCAAGGGCTTTTGTCGTTGACTTGCAAACCGGGCTTAAATCATGTAAGTTAATGTGAACTTGGCATTAGTCTACAAATCTGGATAAGATTCTTATGCATGTTAACTATACCATGGTAATAAGCTGAAATTTATAGATGAAATTATTATTTTGGGAGTGATCATAGAAAAGAATATATCAGCAATGTAATTACTTACAATAGATTGTAAGTACCAGTTCATTGAGTGACATTTAAATTGCATCTTCTAAGCTGTTAGAAAATGTTCCTCCAACGCTTTCTCCTTTCCCTTTCACCAACAAAAAGAAAAGTGTTAACTTATGTTATAAAGTGCTGTTTTGATATTGTTCTCTTCATCTTCTTTAATTTTCCAACCAGACCCGTCCGTGCAGCAGTCTCCACAAGACATGCCAAATAAATCTGCAAGTGTCAAGAAGGCTGAAAAAGGTGGGTTTACTAATTAAGTTTTTTGTTTTTTTTTGGCCCAAGACTTTTTGGCTTTGTTTCAATGTATTATTATAAAAATTGTGACAACAGTAATACTTCTATGCATAGAAATCTAGAGCAGTGCTGATATGAAGGTATTTCTTGCCAAAAAGGGGCTACAACTCTCATTAACTGTTGAAATTAACATTTAGAGTTGTGTGACTTACTTATTTACGATATCTGATGTTGAAAGTGATGTTGATTTAGCTTACAAGTTAAACAGTCATAGGTGGTTTCTCAATATTAAGGTAGCCTGTGTCTTGGTATTTTCATTTTCATTTTCATTACCATCCTAAATTTTGCATCAAATATTTAACAAAACGAATAACCTTCAGTGAAGCAGTCATGTTCAGGTATGTCAATGATAAATAATAATTTCTGTGCAAAGAAATGGTTGTAATTGGATGAATTTTCACCCCTGATGAGACACCTACACCTTGTTTAAATGAAAGCCATATCCTCTTTAAATATATTGTTCTAATATTTAATATTTAATAATTATATTTTATACAGGCCTGTTTGTGCATCAGCCTCTGCAGAATCAACAAAAGATATCTTCACGGACCAAGAAAAGTGAAAAGGGTATATTTGCTTTTTTACATTGCCATTGTGGTCATACTTGCATTAGTACAAGGTTAACTTTACTCTATTACCTCCTATCATTATATATTGAAAGAAGTGACATACAATTTTTTCGCTTTTAGGAATACAAATTTGGCTGTAATGTATGTTTTATGTAATGGTCCTGCCTTTTCTCAGTATTATTTGGGTTGTCTTATAGGCTACTAAATAAAATAAAAAGTTTACATGATGGTGGTTGTATCTTTAGTTTTGTACCTCTCAAAATTTCCAGTGCCTCAGTCCTAAGTAATGTTGGAGATTTAAACAAATGAAAAAATACAGCTGTTTTGTGTGTTTAGTTGAGTGTTAAGCAGTTGACTTTCCCAGCCCTCGGACATCACTTGCTAAAAAGAATACAGACATATGTAACTAAATTAAATTTTTCATCTGTCATTTAAACAGTGCTTTCACCTCTGTGGAACCATCCACAGACCTCTGCAACAGAAAAAGCCAAAGAACCTGGTAAGGATGTGTGTAATGTTACTGCCTTTTTTCAATATTACATGGCTTGTCTTATACTGAATTAAAAAAAATTGTTTACGTGATGGTGGTTGCATCTTTAGTTTATCCCCACCACACAGCATTATACGATAAGAAGAGGTGGTTGGATGTGTGATGGTGATAGTAATGGTTGCTAATTTTGTACCTCTCATAAATGTAAAGTTATAGCTGTTTTGTGTGTTTAGTTTTGCTGCTTTGAAACAATCTGTATTGTAAAAATCGCTATATAAATGAAGGGGTGTGCATAAGACTGACATGACACCGTCATAATCATGACATGACACATGTTATGAATATGAAGGAGGTTTTATGCATGTTTATGACAACTGTCATTAAGTGTCATTCGCTCAATTATGACATTTTTAATGCAAATATGACATTGTGTGAGATGTCTTTGTTATGACAACTTTTACATTACCAAGACAACACAACCTGTCATAAATATGTCATAAACATGACATAGTAGATTAATTATCAAACTTAAGAAACCACTTAGCTTTATGGGTTAACATGTCATTAAACTGTCATGTGGTTGGTTTTGACATTGGCTGTCATGAAGCCATTATGACATTTTAATGACAAATTACATTTGTACCACTGTAGTTGAGGTCAAGGAATACATTCATGACACAGTTATAATGCCTCATGACAGCCAATGTCAAAACCAACCACATGACAGTTTAATGTAATGTTAACCCATAAAAGCTAAGTAGTTTCTTAAGTTTGATAATTCATCTGCTATGTCATGTTTATGACAATTCATGTTGTCTTGGTAATGTCAAGTTGTCATGACAAAGACACTGACAGGTTATAATGTTTTGTTTTATGTCAAGTTGTCATAACAAAGACATCTCAAACAATGTCATGTTTGCATTAAAAATGTCATAATTGAGCGAATGACAGTTGTCATAAACATGCATAAGACCTCATTCATATTTATGACATCTGCCATGTCATGATTATGAAGGTGTCATGTCAGTCTTAAGCACACCCCTTCAAGTAAAGTGTTACCAATGAAGGTGACTTTACTTGACTTGAGTGTCAAGCAACTTGCTCAAGCCCTCAGACATTAGCATACATTTTTTGCTAAAAAGAATACTGACATCTGTAGCTAAATTAAATTGTACATCTGTCATTGAAACTTCACAGTGCTTTCACCTCTGTGGGACCATCCACAGGCCTCTGTAGATGAAAAGGCTAAAGAAACTGGTAAGTTTCACAGTCAACTACATTTAACATAACTTTGAAGTATGTGATTTTTTTTTATCTCAGTATTGCTTTTCATGTGCCTTTATGCTGCTTTGTTCACTTGCTATTTAACTCTATAGATGGAAAGTGTTAATATTTTAAAATGTGTTAATCTGCATTACCATATCTAATTATGAGGTCTTAATTTATTATAGAAGCCCCCACTCTGCAAACAGCTCTGCAGGAGGCTAAGCAAACCATTGAAGGCCAAAAGACAGAGATTGCCGCCTTAAAAGAATGGGTTGATATCTTGAAAGAGGATCGAGATTTCCTCCGGGAGAGACTTAAAGAGGGTAAAACTGATTTGAGGACATTACAGCTTCAAAAATGTTGATTGTCATAACACAATTGTCAAACAATTCCTATTATCTTTTCTCAGCTCTTGCCGTAAGAAGTGACAAGGGGGTAGATGTGGCCAGTAATATCCCACCAATAGAGCAGGCACCTGGAAAGAGGAAACAGGTGTCAGATGTAACCGATTCCTCATCCTCTGATTCCTCATCGGATTCTGAGCCTGATTCTGAGTCCCCAGAGCCCAAGAAAGCCAAGAAGAAGTCAAAGATCCAGCCCAAAAAGGCCAAGAAAATGGGCAAAAAACTAAGAGGTATGCAGTAAAGTCGTACTCAAATTGAATCAGTGGTCAGTCTCTAATTGTGCAGTAGGTAAAAAAATTTATATAAGCACTTTTAACGCACTTTTCAAACACTAAGTACTCTAGTTGATTCCACAGTACACCATGTTTTATTTTTAAAAATTAAAAAACAAATGGCCATAGATCTAGTTCCACTCCCAACTAACTGGTTTGGAATTGTGAACGGTGAACTGTAGTACAGCACTATTACTAGGCTGGTTCGATTTAATTGGATTCAACCATTAACGCTTTCTCTTGTTCTACAGTCAAAACCCCTGACGACTCCATCCGCCGCTACAACATGGTGTTGGAAAAGATTAAAAAGGAACGCATCAGCAAAGCCGAAGCATATACAAGGCTTGGGGTGGATCGGAATACTATTGTGTTTCAGGCTCCGATTGCAGAACTTGCAGCGACTAACCCAGATCTGTTCCATACATTGAGGTCCACTTTTAAAAGAAAGGACAGTCTGAAAAGGTTTGCTGAAACTTGCAGGGGATTTTGTGAGCAGGAGCCTACAGCTTCAGCTATCCTAAAGAAAAAGGATGATGGATCCTTACTGGATATTTACAAGAAGTAGTTGTAAACAAGTTTTACAAGTAGTTTGTTTGTACTGCCATGTGTTTGTGCCATGTATTTGTTTAGTTTAGTTTTGTTCAGAATTAAATATTTCATGATATGGGGTAGTCCAGCTGTAGCTTTATACAGGTGAAACTCAAAAAATTTGAATATCGTGCAAAAGTTCATTTATTTCAATAATTCAATTTAAAATGTGAAACTAATATATTATATAGACTCATTACATGCGAAGTGAGATATTTCAAGCCTTTATTTGTTATAATTTTGATGATTATGGCTTACAGCTATGCAAACCTTTTCACAATATTCTAATTTTGAATTTGGGGTTTTCATAAGCTGTAATCCATAATCATCAAAATTATAACAAATAAAGGCTCACTTTGCATGTAATGAGTCTATATAATATATTAGTTTCACATTTTACATTGAATTATTGAAATATATTACCTTTTGCACGATATTCAAATTTTGAGTTTCACCTGTACATTAAAAGGTGACTCCTTACCCTAAAACCTTTTTTTTCTTTTCTTTTTTTGAAAAACAGCTTCATGGTTTTGTAAAGAGATATACAGGCACTTAAAATAAAGTTCATGGTGTATGTACTGAATTCCTCCTCAGCTCTTCCCAGGTATTGCTGTGGATTTATCTGGTTTCAGAATAAAGCAGTAAAGTTCAGATCAAACTCCATTTGTGTCCACAGTACATTGTTTGCAAAGGCTTGAACTTTCTTGTTCATATTCATGTCATTTCACAGTTATGCCACCATTAATAGCACATTGTTCATCAGTGTTTCAAAGGACCAAGTCATCACTTTAGTTGAGGGGCCACACACATGATGAAGTCATTTAAAGATAATGCTTAGTTAATGATGACTACTGTATTTGAATGTCAACAGAATGTATGTGCTATGAGCTGTGATTGGTCTATTTTGGGGTCTGTCCATTTACCTGCAGGCTATTATGAAGACATGAACATGCTGGATAACTCAGATCACAATGAAAACACATTGTTTATCAGCGTTTCAAAGGACCAAGTCATCACTTTAGTTGAGGGGCCACACACATGATGAAGTCATTAAAAGATTATGCGTAGTTAATGATGACCGGTATTTGAATGTCAACAGAATTCGTGCGCTATTTGCTGTGATGGGCCAATTTTGGGGTCTGTCCATTTACCTGCAGACTATGAAGAAGACATGAACATGCTTTGAAACGAATCATTCGAAGACTAGTCTTGCATGCATGAATTAATGCTTTTTTGTTATGCATGAGTTCATGATGATTCAGGTACCATAACTAGCTTTATCCACAATGGATAGTAAAGACAATTTTTTTTTGTGAACAAAGAAAACATCATGATCATGCGTAATAAATCATAATTCATGATGATGTACTCATCTTAGTTAATGTTTTAATTAAGGTGTTGTTCATCGATGAAGTCATGAATGAAAAACGTTGAACTCGTGATGATTTCTGATGATTCATGAGATATTAATGCATGAATTAATGCCTAATTCATGCATGAATTCATGCATGAATTCATGATAATTCATGTACCCTTACCGTAAAGTGTTACCCTTTCTCCTAATAAAACAACCATTACGCAATCTCGCCTCAAAAAGACACTCTGGTGCAGTAAAAATGACTTGATCTGGACCATCAATTTAAGGTGATGCATCAACTGCATTTGAAAAACGAATGAATCTATTAGTTGTGTCACTGAGGCTGTCAAGAGGCCCAGAGGCGAAGAAACCAAGAAACCAAAACATGAACCCAAGTGTGTGTCCTGACCGTGTTCGGTGATTACCCACACTGCACTGCTCCTGTTTCACAAGCCAACATCTGAAAGAACAACAGTAATGTGGAATTGATTGTATATATATATATATCACTGCTTCTTGAGAGTCAGGACAAAACATGTCCCACAAAGAAAAGTCTAATTTATAGCAAAAATTAAGAAATTCATCTTGTATGACATACTTACAAAGTTAAATCTAAAGGAATTGTATCTGATTTTTAGAATAAACTTTTTTATCTTTTTGGGGAAAAGTTGTTTAAATGTATGGTCTGTGGTTAGATGGTCCATGTTATTGCACTTATTCTCAGCAAGAGGTTACAATATTAACCATCCCAAAAAACTTTTAAAAAGCTCTACAATTGTGAAAACATATATATAAAATAAAAAATAAGGGGTATAAATATAAAAAACAATGCATGAAGTGAACATCAAACAATATTTTCCATAAATATCTGCCTATTAAAGTTGTGTCCTCAGTTTCTGTCAACTCCGTCAGATTTTTTCATAAAGCTCTTTAAATCAGGAAATAGCATGGTCAGGTATATCCTTGAGGACCCCTTTTCATCTCCCTGTCTGTGGTGAATGCAGCACTACCACACATGCTCTGGTACGTTTTACATTTTTTTATATTTTAGACAAACAATGTCAATATTCCTATGGTCACAGCTGCACCATGTCAATACCATCTTTCTGTTAAGATACTTTTTTTAAACCATAGTGGATTGAATTTAAGCATTTTAGTGAGGTTATTGGTGTTGTGTTGGGTTCTTTTACAAATAAAGACCGATGCCTTGAGTGTTCACTGAGCCGCTTTATTAACAGACTGCCACAATAACATTGTGTCTCACTCTTTCTATCTTGCTTGTTCAAACCGTACTCCCCCTCATACATGCCTGTGTTGCCCTCTAGTGGTAACATGTAATATAGATTACACCACATCCCCCTTACTGAAGGTAAGTTAACTACTCTTAGCTGTAACTCAAACCATTAGCATTTTCTTTTCCCTTATCAAACAGTTATTAAAACATTAGAACATTTTCTATGCAAAAACTCGTATTAGATTAAGGCATATTCAGAACTTATTCAAAGCATAAAAGAAATGTTAATGCATTCTTTTACAGATCCAGTCTTTTTGGTTTTACCACTTCTCTACCAGACCGGGTTCGAACAACATCTGGTGCTTGATGTGCTTGTGGCTCAGAAACTATCTCTGCAGGAGTGTTTCTTTCATCAGACTGGGTCAGTTGTGATTCAGTATGAGTCTCTGATATCGGCAAAGGCACAAGATGACTGCGATTCCTTCTGATAGTTCCCTGCGGTCCACTGATGACATAGGACCGTGGAGTTGGGTGGACAGATGTCACTGTGCCTGTTGCTTTTGCATTTGCAATCCAAACAGGGTTCCCGGGTATCAGTTTATCCAGATCTCTTGTTCTGTGTTTGTCTCATCCTACTCTCCCTCTCCACATGACGAAGTTGTCGAAGATTTGGCACACAAGGCTGTAAGGCCTCTGGTAGCATCGGCAGGGTGGTACGAAGTCGACGCCCCATGAGTAGCTGTGCAGGGCTGTAGCCGTTTGCCAGCGCTGTGGTCCTATAGGCTAATAGAGCTCTGTACGGATCACTAGCTTTCTTGAGGAGATTTTTAACTGTTTGGACAGCTCTCTCTGCCTCGCCGTTGCTTTGGGGGTACCTGGGACTACTGGTCACATGCTCAAAACAGTATTCACTTGCGAAGTCTTTCATTTCCTGACATCCAAACTGCGGGCCGTTGTCCGTGATCAGTATCTCTGGTATTCCATGACGTGCAAATATTGATTTCAAATGCACAATGACATTGGCAGAGCGAGTTGGGCTGAGCTGAGCAATCTCTATATACCTAGAGAAGTAGTCCACTAGTAACAGATAGTTTTTATCTTTCAGAGCGAACAGGTCAGCACCTAACTTCTGCCATGGTCTTTCAGGTAAATCTGTGGGCATTAAAGGCTCTCTTGCATTGACTCTTTCCTGTATGCACTGTCTGCATTTGAGGACAAGTTCACTGATCTGGTTGCTTAAACCTGGCCACCACACTGCCTGACGGGCACGCTCTCTGCACTTAACCACCCCCTGGTGACCCTCGTGTATTTTGTCCAAAACTGAGTTTCTCATGTTAGCAGGAATAACTAACCTTGTGCCCCTAAGTAGTAGTCCGTTGTGCACACTCAGAACAGCTCTGTGGTGAGACTTTTGCCGGGGATGTGCTTTATTGTGTATGAGTACCTCATTAAGCGCATACGGAATCTCTGTATCCGCGGCGGAAGCGCATCCAAAGCTTGTCCTCCCAGAAGACTCACTAGTGGCTTGTGGTCAGTTTCGAGTTAAAAGTGAAGGCCTAGGATAAAGTCATTAAACCTCTCACAGGCCCACGTAAGAGCCAGCGCTTCTTTTTCCACCTGAGCGTAGCGCTGCTCTGTAGGTGTTAATGATCGGGAAGCATAAGCAACTGGTGACCACACATCTCCCTCTTTCTGCAGCATGACTGCCCCCAGGCCAAATGAAGAGGCATCCGCGGAGATTTTCTGTGGCTTATTCGGGTTGTAGAGCTGTAACACAGGAGGAGAAGACAGTTCTTGTTTAAGGTTGTGAAACGCCTTTTGCTGGTCGTGCCCCCAGTACCACATATTCTTGGTTGAAAGTAAGTCTCTCAGTGGTTTATCCTTTTCAGAAAGATTTGGAATAAACTTCCCCAGTTGGTTCACCATACCGAGAAAGCTCCTGAGCTCACTCACGTTGCTTGGCTCCTTCATGTCCTGAACAGCTTGGGTTTTGTCTGGATCAGGACTCATTCCATCTGCTGAGACGATGAATCCAAGGAATTTGACTTTTCGTTTGGTAAACTCACATTTCGACATGTTCAATGTAACGCCGGCTTTCTCTGCCCGCTGCAGGACAGCATGCAGTCTTGTGTCATGCTCGTCTACGGTCGATCCCCAGACCAGGATATCGTCCATGTGACAGACGACTCCCTCGAGATCTGCTGTAACCTCTGTCACCATCATGTTTTGGAAATGTTCGGGCGCGCTGGAGATACCAAATGGTAAACGGTTGAAGTGATACCTGCCGAATGGCGTAATGAAGGTGGTGAGGAGTGCCGACTCTTTGGATAGTGGTATTTGCCAAAAGCCCATATTCGCGTCAAGTTTTGAAAAATACTGAGCACCT